ATTTCAATAATTAAAACCTATTGTTATGTGATTCTAAACAAGGTTACAGCTAGTTGGGAATAACATTCCGTTAAGCATAAATAGTTACAACTAAATGCTTTTAAGAAAAAAGTTTAGTGGAGAGGGATCATGTCATATTTTGAGGCTCTGACATCCTTTCTATTAGTTTTAACTAAGGTTTGAGAAACTTATTGCTTGCTCACCATGCCCCGTATAATGTGACATGTGTATGTGGAGAATACTCATAAATTCACTACTTGGATTAGAAATATTAGTTAAACAGAAGTACCGCACCATATTACCCCCGTATACATGATGTTTTTACCCGCTTCAAGGTGCCTGCATCACCATTTTATCTTCCACCATAACGCCATACACTAATCTCTCAGTTATTCTGCACTATCGTTTACTGATATGATGCTTACATCACAATGCTAGTATTTGTTATATTTCACTCTTATGTTTCAGCTTTTCGCCGTTGTGAATACGCTTATCAGCCATATCTGAGACTAGATGGTTCGTCTTCGTTTTCCCTATCCGATTATCCTGGGCGTTATTTTGTTCGTTAATGCTTACAGAATCCCATAGAGCGTGAGTTAAATGAATTAATAATTGCTGATTTTCATGAAATCCCATCCATAATCATTGATTTATATATTTTATTCGTGCAAATGAAACCAATATCCCTCTAGCACCTGTATTCAACACCAAGAAGTTCTAAATAATCTATATATAATTGTCACGTGTCTCCTGCTTCCCTACTTTCAATTCACATTGGAAAGATATTTAAGGTTGTCTGGTTTCTATATCACTCATATTACTACTTTGCAAAGCTTGAGTTTCAACCAATTTGGCGACTAGTTTGTGATTGATCGGGAGTTCATTCAGTTTTAAAGTAATCAAAGATGTCACAATCGTTTTTACCTACATATACAATGGGTTACTTAAAGTGACGAAAATAACCGTCAAACGGCTTACTTACTTACTTACGCCTGTTACCCCTCGTCGAGGAGCATAGGCCGCTCACCAGCATTCTCCATTCAACTCTGTCCTGAGCCTTCCTTTCCAGTTCTTTCCAGTTACTATTCAGCCTTTTCATATCTGCTTCTATTTCCCGGCGTAGTGTGTTCTTTGGCCTTCCTCTTTTCCGCTTCCCTTCCGGATTCCAAGTTAGGGATTGAGTCGTGATGCACATTGGTGATTTCCTTAATGTATGTCCGATCCACTTCCAACGTCTTTTCCTAATTTCCTCTTCAGCTGGAAGCTGGTTTGTCCTCTCCCATAAAACGCTGTTGCTGATAGTATCCGGCCAATGGATGTTGAGTATTTTGCGTAGACAACCGTTTATAAATACTTGTACCTTCCTGATGATGGCCGTAGTAGTTCTCCACGTTTCAGCTCCATACAGTATGACTGTCTTGACGTTCGTATTGAAGATTCTAACCTTGAAATTGGTTGAGAGTTGTTTTGAGTTCCATATGTTCTTCAATTGTAGAAATGCTGCCCTTGCTTTGCCAATCCTCGCCTTTACATCTGCATCCGATCCTCCTTGTTTATCAACGATGCTCCCCAGGTACTTGAATGTTTCCACCTCTTCCAGAGTTTCGCCATCAAGTGTGATTGGGTTGGTGTTCTCCGTGTTGCATTTGAGAATCTTGCTTTTTCCTTTGTGAATGTGGAGACCTATCGATGCGGAGGCTGCTGCTACATTTGCTGTCTTCATCTGCATTTGGTCGTGTGTATGAGAGAGGAGGGCTAGGTCATCTGCGAAGTCCAAATCATCTAATTGATTCTGAGCTGTCCATTGTATTCCGTATTTCTCTTCAGATGTCGAATTCTTCATAATCCAGTCAATCACTAGAAGGAAGAGGAATGGGGAGAGTAGACAGCCTTGTCTGACTCCGGTCCTTACTGGAAATGCACCTGTCAGCTGTCCTCCATGCACCACTTTGTACTGTAATCCATCGTATGAGTTTTGGATAATGTTGACGATCTTCTGAGGAACTCCATAGTGTCGAAGAAGTTTCCATAATGTTCTCCTGTCCACGCTGTCAAACGCCTTCTCGTAGTCAATAAAGTTGACGTATAGTGATGAGTTCCACTCAACTGATTGTTCAACGATGATCCGTAGTGTCGCAATCTGGTCTGTGCACGACCGATCCTTACGGAATCCAGCCTGATGATCCCTTAGTTCGGCGTCTACTGCGTCTTTCATCCGATTCAGCAGCACTCTGTTGAAAACTTTTCCTGGTACTGATAACAAACTGATACCTCTGTAGTTCTCGCATTTGCTCAGATCTCCTTTCATTGGAATCTTGATGAGATATCCTTGTTTCCAGTCCATTGGCACTTGTTCCTCTTCCCAAATCTTCTTGAATAGAAGGTGAAGCATGTTTGCAGTTATTTCAATGTCTGACTTCAGTGCTTCTGCTGGTATATTGTCAAGTCCCGCCGCCTTCCCACTTTTGATTTGTCTGATGGCCATCTTGACTTCTTCGATCGTTGGTGGAGTGACATCTATTGTAAGGTCTGTGTGGGCTGCTTCGATGTTCGGTGGATTCAATGGGGCTGGTCTATTCAGCAGTTCCTCGAAGTATTCTGCCCATCTTTTCTTCTGTTCTTGAATCTCAGTGATTGTCTTTCCTTCTTTGTCCTTGACTGGTCTCTCTGGTTTGCTATATCTCCCTGCCAATTTTTTCGTTGTATCATATAGTTGTTTCATATTCCCTTCTCTTGCAGCTTTTTCCGCCGCCGTTGCTAGTTCTCCCATGTATTTCTGCTTGTCGGCTTTAATGCTTTTCTTCACTTCTCTGTTTGCTTCTGCGTAGTCTGCTTGTGCTCTGACTTTCTCTGCTCGTGTTCGGCTGTTGTTAATTGCTAGTTTCTTGTTCTTCCTTTCTTGAATTTTGTCTAGGGTTCCCAGAGAGATCCATTCCTTGTGATGATGCTTCTTAGGACCAAGAACCTCCTGACACGTTGAAGTTAGTGCTTCTTTTATCCCTTTCCAGTTGTCCTCCAAAGTAGTTTCTTGTTCTTTCAGTAGATCCTGTAGAGCTTGGAACCTATTGTTGAGAGTTATCTTGAATTCTTGGAGCTTGTCAGCATCTCGAAGGAAGGCTGTATTGAACCTTTGTAGTGCTGTTTGTCCAGTTGTCCAGTCTTTCTTAAGCTTCAGTCTCATCTTGGCCACAACCAGGTGGTGATCTGAAGCTATGTCAGCTCCTCTCCGGGTTCTTACATCTTCCATTGATCTTTGGAATTTTTTGTTGATACAGATGTGATCTATCTGGTTCTCTGTGGTATGGTCCGGTGAGATCCATGTAGCTTTGTGTATGCGCTTGTGTGGGAATATTGTGCCGCCTATAACCAATTTGTTGAAAGCACATAGGTTTGCAAGTCTCTCCCCATTTTCATTTCTTTCTCCTAGTCCGTGTCGTCCGATTATATCTTCATATCCTGTGTTGTCCACTCCAACTTTAGCATTTAGATCTCCCATCAGGATTGTGAGGTCCTTACTTGAGCACTTTGCTACAATTGATTGCAGCCTTTCATAGAACTGATCTTTATCATTGTCGTTGCTATCATTGGTGGGTGCATAACATTGGATAACGTTCATTGTGATCCCTTGCTTCTTTGTTCTGAATGATGCTTTGATTATCCTGGGTCCATGAGATTCCCATCCCACAAGTGCATTTCTTGCTTCTTTGGACAGCATTAGAGCAACTCCCTGAGTGTGTGGAGCGTTTTCCCCTTCGTGACCGGAGTACAGCAGCATCTCTCCTGTACCTAGCCTTTGTTGTCCAGTTTGTGTCCAATGGGTTTCGCTGATTCCGAGTACTGCCAAGTTGTATCTCCGCATTTCCATTGCTATTTGGCTGGTCTTTCCTGTCTCCCACATTGTCCGGACGTTCCATGTACCTATAAAGAGTGTTGCTCTGGTTGTTAGAAGGTGCATCGGTCTCGTGACTTCCGAAGAATTTCGGCTTTCATCATGAGACGTCATTATTCCTTCAACTCCCAGAGCAGAGTTTAAATGGTTTGAATTATTTTTTCTGGTTAGCGTTTTTTTAGCGAGTTAGCTTTTCTACGGGATGGGGTCACTAACCCCATGCCCAACCCTCCTCCTTTACCCGGGCTTGGGACCGGCAGTAACTCTAGAAGAGCTACAGGCGGAGTCAAACGGCTTACTTACAGTAAAACCATGACCACCACCTTCACTGAATTCTCGCTAACTTTAAATTTTTTAAACCCATACACCATTTCTTAACCATAGTATCTCATTTAATAGTGAAATTACATTTATTACTCATAACTAGTCCGTTTGATTAGTCACTTATTTCTGACTCGGAATAATATAAACACTTGATAACATGTAGACATTTGTAGTAAATAACACACAACATTTGCTTTACCGTTCATTTAGTATGGTACTAATCCATAATTTTCTTACTTTGCTGAACATAAAAGTCACGAGAAGTTTCTCTTTATTCATGATTTTTCAATTTATTTATTTCAACACATAAATATTGGTACAAGGAAGCACCAGATACATATGCGCCGCACAAACCTCGTTCGATTTGTGTGAGGGCTGTGATACTGCTCAGGTGCCCAAACTGAAGCAGGTGGTTTTCTTAGGGAGCCACACTCGGAGCCTTTGACCTAAAGATCTGATCCACAAGGCAGTGGAGCATCGTGAGGAGATGCAGTCACATAGTAGCCGGTGACCAACAGTTGGTTCATACGCCATTTGTTCCCTCAGAATACTGGAGCTCATGTGCACCATCGGTTTGGGATCAGGGTTTTCCAACTCCCCTAGGTGGACTCTCCGTGTCCACCAACCCGGTTAAAGCGACAGGCATTCGCTTTTCGTCCTCTCAATTTCGTAAACAACAGTAATGTCACGAGAAGGCAGTGAGTAGGACTTCTCTGTCAGAGGCTATACACGCGTGACCATGTGAGAGCATTTCGAGAGGGAAAGAGGACTCTCCCCACTCTTGGCCATACCAGGGCATTTGGGGGCTTTATTTATGAACTTCTGGTGTGTTTATTTATTCAGTGCCGTATAGCTTATGTATGAGTTATCTTTTGCCTTTTGGTGAAGTTAAACTACAGGAAGATTTTCGAATATGTTTGTGGAAAGTTGGATAACCCATTTCTGAATAGCAGTGTCCCTAACTTGTCCTGATTTCCATGTCACGGTTCATATTCTTTTGTCTTGTCACTTTATTGGTTTGTTGATATTTGTTTGAAATACTATTTTATTTGGTGGTAAATTACTAATTGTAGATCTCTGAACACTTCACTTGTTTTAAGGACTTTTATGCTCATGCTTTTCTTCTACCTTATACAACATTGTATATCTTCTAGTTTCAAATATTTTTATCACACCAACTAAACTTTATCTCACCATATTCCTTCCGTAGGTCAAATTAATAATGAATTTCGTACTGATCCCATTAACATTTATAAGTAGTCTCAAAAGTATATATGTTCATACTTTATTTCTTACTCTAAAACGCATTTTATCAACAATTTCATTTTTCATGTTCTCTGTTCTCGTAACCCTATTCAGTTTCGTGTGACAGTGTGCATGTCTCTTAATCCTGATCAATTGGATCTTGTACCTGATGATCTGCTTAATGATCAAGTCCAAGTAGAAACGGTTCATCAAGTTTCATACAATAATAATAATAATCGAAGTAACCTGGATGCATTAGGAATGGCCGCTGGAGTGTCACCTTACGGAACAAATAACCCATCTGCAATGTCTGCAGCAGCAGCAGCAGCTCTTTTAATACAAGCTGCAGCTGGCGGTAGCTCTGTAAATGAATCACCATCTAATAATGTAACTTTTTCTGGAAGACGTTGTTCTACTTCAAGCCTTCTAGAATCACCACAACCATCTCCTTTATCTTCATCTATGATTTCAGTAGCTGCACAACAAGCTGCCTTAGCTGCTGCTCAAGCTATTGCCAGTCCTCGATCTCCATCAGCTAGTTCTAGCACATCTAATTTTCAGGCGGCAGTGTTATCATTGGCTTTAGCTGCTTCATCCACGTGTACAACAATTAGCAATTCTAGTTCGGAACTTCGTGAATGTCAACGTTCATTACTTAGTCATTCTGCTATGAGTGATCTTATCTCCCTTTCCGAACAACATCCAAAATTACTAACTGCACATTCTACACTAGCATCTGTGTTTAGAAGACGTTCTTCAACCCTTGCTCCTCCATGTTTCACTAATGTACTTAATCCAGTGTGTATGGATGTAGCCCCTAGGCATGAATTAAAAAGTGCCCCCAGTGAGGAACCACAGTTATTGTCTTTTTTACCTTCAAACATAACGTCTACTCTTGATCTGGGGAATTCTCAGCTCCTCAATAGTCAGGTTAGTTTACACTTTGAAGAATGACTGACTAGTTACTTGACTACAGCCTAATTGCTTGTTTGTCATGTAATATAGACTACTTAGAACTTTGGATGTGTTTGGTTGAAATCCCTTCTTATGTTGTCATTTTTAGTAGCATTTGATCAAACCCAAAAGCAAGTAAAGATGAGGCTCGTTATCTTTTTTACGAAACTCCAAGATGTGACATTTTATGATATCAAATTGCTTTTAGGAGGGTTTCTGTACCAACTAGTTCGTATACCTAAAAATAATCGACTATGGTTCTTACACGAGAAATATTCCTTCATTTCTCTCTAAACCACAATTTTCTTGATCTTTATTAGTTGTATTCACGTATATACAGCTAGTCAGTTACTTTACCCTTTAACTGTTGAATCTTTCCTCTTCTGTTACCTAGCTATCATCATTAATTAAATGCTGATTCTGTATTTGTCTAGCTCACTGAAATCAAAACAGTAAGATATATATAATGTAGATAGCTAATTATATATTCAAGTAAAGAGCCCACAATGATTAACGTCCTAAGTAATGTAATGTACATTATAGGCACGTCCTCTGCTCATATTTTTTGTCCCAGTTGATATTAAAGGTAATGAAGATGAAGTGTTTTTTTATCATGTTTAAATTTTCCCATTGTTTTTCCTCTCTGTGTTAACTGACTCATTTTCTATGGTCTAAAAAAAGTCACTCCATATTAATTTACTAGCATTCGGTCCTCATTATCTCTAAGATGACTAGACTATGAGGATTAGTTAACTGTTATCAAAGTTCTAAACGACTTTGTGAAAAAAATCGACACTAATTATCTATCAAACTTGAAGTCCGATTTTAACTGCACGAATTGACTCAGTTATGTAAAGTTTCAATACACAAGAAAGAACTTTTTAGGCTTAAAACTCTAGAAGAAGACCTAAACAAATAAATGTAGTCTCTTCCTTAACGAGTTTATGTCCTTCTTTTCGTAGTTAACTTTCAAGGTCCAATATCATCTCCCATTATTTTATTGTTATTTACTGACTATGTACACTATTGTAGGGACAATTTTTGTGTGTTTAAACACATAAACATTGGTACAAGAAGGCACCAAATAGATATGCGCCACATAAATCACTCGATTTGTGTGAAGGCTGTGATACTGCCCGGGTGACCAGACCGGAGCAAGTGGTTTTCTTAGGGGACCACACCCTAAGCCTTTGACCTAGAGGTCCAATCCACAAGGCAGTTGGAGCAACGTTAGGAGATGCAGTTCTATGGTAGCCGGTGACCAACAATAGGATCCTAAAGCCCATATTCACCATTGGTTTTGAATCAGTTTTCCAACTCCTCTAGGTAGAACCTCCATATCCACCAACCCAGTTAAATCGCCGGACATTAGCTTTTCATCCTCTCAATTTCGTAAACAACAGTAATACCGTGAGAAGGCAGTAAGTTGGACTTTCATGGCAATGGCTGTATACGTGTGGCCATGTGAGAGCATTTAGAGAGGGAGAGCTGGCTCTCCCCACCCTCGATCGTACCAGGGCACCTGGGAGCATAAAGAACTCAGTATATTGTCGGACTATATAAGCTTGTTTAGTAGATGTCAAAGCAATTTCACACTAAAGTCATTTGTTATGCTCACTGTCAAGGTGGATTTAAAGTAGCTCATAGATTGCCTTTTCTACTTACATGCCACTTAGTGTTCGGGGTACTTTTATAGTTTCAAATTGAAACTCATCTGTATCGAATCATATATTGTACAATAAGATGTCATGCAACTTAATGAATCAGTAGGTTTATATTCAGAACCTTTGCTGATTGTTTGGTTGGAAAATTGATTTCTGCTTCGTCTACTATTATTTCACCAACTGTCAAAGAAAATTTGTGGCTTTAAACTTTTTCGTAAAATTCAGCTTCGTTGCACTTATCAGAAATTTTATGTGTTTGTGAGTTGATGTCTGACAAATATAGGACTCTCAACTTGCATCAAATGTGTTGTCCGTATGCTACACAATGTTCTACTTTGTATTATGTTCTGGCTGTAGAATTTGGTATTCGAAGGTCTAAAAAAAATAAGCGTAGGCTATTTCCACTTATTCTTTCTGATAATTGTTTACTTATGTTGGAACCGCTAAATAAGCGATGAAAATGTTAAACTTGGATTACTATGTAAAGGGAACTAATAATTAATGGGGTTGTCGGCACATTCTTTATTTGTGTCCTAACACCGCTTCTCACTTGGATGCGCTATACTTGTTAACATTAAGTATTAAGAATAGGTAACAATATGGGTGAAGAGTTAAACTGAAGAAATACCTAACTTTTAAGTTTTCCTTAAAAAATCTCTTTTGACTGTAGAAGTACTGTCATACCGATTCTGTATCCACACATAAACTACAAGTATGCGGTGTGTAAGAGAAATCACTCGATATTATGAATTCAATCCGCTTACCTACATTCTTTGTCGATCTTTTCACTTATAAATCATAACATTATTTAACATGATAGCCTCTTATACTTCCTCACTATTTTTAGCTACTAAGATCTGATAAATAGAGTTTTATGGTTTCCCGAGTTTCTACGTTAAAGTATTATGTTATTTTAGTACTCTTTATCTTAAAGCTTTTATTAATTTCAGCCCTAACTTTACACTGGTCTTTTCTTGTTTTAGCAGTCAACTCTTCCAGATTATCCTGAAGGTTTTTCTTTAACCCATGAGTCAACATCTATTCCAACTTCTTTTCTGAACAATAATTGTATTGAACAACGTAATCGTCCAGGTGAATCTTACTTAATGGATATTAATTCAGAAGGTCCAGCTAAAATTACACGGCATTATTTGTCTACTTTAGATCCTGATGAAAATGTAGATGACTCCCGAAACACTTCCAGTGTACCACATAGAGGTTATGAAGATCCTAATTTCCAACCTTTTTACAAAACATCACCAAAATATGATTCGCATGTGGTACATCCATTAGGCGTTCATCCATCATTTGATAGAAATTCTAATAAATGTAATACAAGATATTTTTCTCCTACACATACATCAGTTTCAAGTGAACTTGCACTGCCCACATGTCCTCCAACTTCACCACTAAGTTGTTCCTCATTATCTAATTCAGCAACTCCCCAATTGAATATTTCTCCATTAAATGTTGAATGTAGAGTTAAGAATCCACCAATGGATGATTTAAGTGGAGCTACTTCAAGATCATCGGTTTCTTGCAGGTCATTAAGAACTAACTGTGGGACAGAGTGTGATTTTAAAACTGATGAACCGAACCGCAAACGCGAACAACGTCTTTTAAAAAACAGGTATTCATGTATTCATTTTAACGATATGTTGAAATGTTATTTCATTTTCCAATCAGATTTAAACTAGTTAAATTTTTAATGCCCCCAAATGCCCTGGTACGGCCGAGAGTGGGGAGAGTCCGCTTTCCCTCTCGAAATGCTCTCTTATGGCCATGCGAATATATAGCCTCTGTCAGGGAAGTCCGGTGGCACCATATTCCCACACAAAAACATACACAAAGCCACTTGGATTTCACCGGATCACACTACACAGAATCAAATCGACCATGTCTGCATCAACAAAAAGTTCAGGAGGACGATGGAGGATGTGAGAATCAGGAGAGGAGCTGATATAGCATCCGATCACCATTTGCTGGTTGCCAAGATGAAACTAAAACTCAAGAAGCACTGGACAATGGCGCGGACAACATCACAAAAGTTTAACACGGCCTTTCTTCGAGATGCTGACAAACTCAACGAATTTAACATAGCCCTCAGCAACAGGTTCCAGGCCTTTCATAACCTACTCAATGAAGAGGGAACGACCATAGAGAGCAGCTGGAAAGGTATCAAGGAGGCAATCGTTTCAACATGTCAGGAGGTTCTGGGCCAAAAGAAGCACCATCACAAGGAATGGATCACTGTTGGTACACTGGATAAAATTGAAGCAAGGAGGAACAAGAAGGTAGCAATCAATATCAGCCGAACAAGAGCAGAAAAAGCCAAGGCACAAGCTGAATACACAGAGGCAAACAAGCAAGTGAAGAGGAGCATCAGGACTGACCGACGTAAATATGTGGAAGATTTAGCGATGACAGCGGAAAAGGCTGCAAGAGAGGGAAACATGAGACAACTGTATGATACGACAAAGAAACTTGCTGGAAATTACCGTCAACCAGAAAGACCAGTGAAAAACAAGGAAGGCAAAGTAATCAACGATATTGAAGAACAACGAAACAGGTGGGTAGAACACTTCAAAGAACTCTTGAATCGACCAGCTCCACTGAACCCACCCAACATCGGAGCAGCACCCACAGACCTCCCAATCGATATTGGCCCACCAACAATTGAAGAGATCAGCATGGCCATTAGACAAATCAAGAGTGGCAAAGCAGCGGGACCAGACAACATCCCGGCAGAGGCACTGAAAGCAAATGTAACAGCAACTGCCAAGATACTCCACATCCTCTTCGGTAAGATTTGGGACGAAGAACATGTACCAACAGACTGGAAAGAAGGACTTCTCATCAAGATACCAAAGAAAGGCGATCTGAGCAAGTGCGACAACTACAGAGGCATCACTCTCCTCTCAATACCAGGAAAAGTCTTCAACAGAGTATTGTTAAACAGGATGAAGGATTCCGTGGACGCTCAACTTCGAGATCAACAAGCTGGATTTCGTAAGGATAGATCGTGCACAGATCAAATCGCAACTCTACGTATCATTGTGGAACAATCAATCGAATGGAATTCATCACTGTACATCAACTTCATCGACTACGAGAAGGCATTTGATAGCGTGGACAGGACGACACTGTGGAAGCTTCTTCGACACTACGGTGTGCCTGAGAAGATAGTAAATATCATACGGAACTCCTATGATGGACTAAACTGCCAAATCGTCCACGGAGGACAACTCACCGACTCGTTCGAGGTAAAGACCGGTGTTAGGCAAGGTTGCTTACTCTCACCCTTTCTCTTTCTCCTGGTGATCGACTGGATTATGAAGACGTCAACATCTGGAGGAATGCACGGGATACAGTGGACAGGCAGGATGCAGCTTGACGATTTAGACTTCGCGGATGATCTGGCTCTTCTATCACAAACGCAACAACAAATGCAGGAGAAAACGACCAGTGTAGCAGCAGCCTCAGCAACAGTAGGTCTCAATATAAACAAAGGGAAAAGCAAGACTCTCCGATACAATACAATATGCACCAATCCAATTACACTTGACGGAGAAGCTTTGGAGGATGTGGAAATCTTTACATATCTGGGCAGCATCATTGATGAACACGGTGGATCAGATGCAGATGTGAGGGCGAGGATCGGCAAAGCAAGAGCAGCATACCTACAGCTGAAAAACATCTGGAGCTCAAAACAATTGTCAACCAACACCAAGGTTAGAATTTTCAATACAAATGTCAAGACAGTTCTTCTGTATGGGGCAGAGACGTGGAGAACTACGAAAGCCATTATCCAGAAGATACAAGTGTTTATTAACAGCTGTCTACGCAAGATACTTCGGATCCGATGGCCAGACACTATCAGCAACAAGTTACTGTGGGAGAGAACAAACCAGATTCCAGCGGAGGAAGAAGCGCTGGAAGTGGATTGGGCACACTTTGAGGAAATCACCCAATTGTGTCACAAGACAAGCCCTCACATGGAATCCTGAAGGTCGAAGGAGAAGAGGAAGACCAAAGAACACATTACGCCGAGAAATAGAGACAGACATGAGAAGAATGAACAAGAACTGGAAAGAACTAGAAAAGAAGGCCCAGGACAGAGTGGGTTGGAGAAAGCTGGTCGGCGGCCTATGCTCCATTGGGAGTAACAGGCGAAAGTAAGTAAGTAAGTAAGTCAGGGAAGTCCTACTCACTGCCTTCTCGTGGCGGGGGTGTTGTTCACAAAAGTGAGAGGACGAAAAGCGAATGCCTGTCGCTTTAACCGGGTTGGTAGACACGGAGAGTCCTCCTAGGGGAGTTGGAAAACCTTGATTCCAAACCGATGGTGCACATGAGCTCCAGTATTCTGAGGGAACAAATGGCGTATGAACCAACTGTTGGTCACCGGCTACTATGTGACTGCATCTCCTCACGATGCTCCACTGCCTTGTGGATCAGATCTTTAGGTCAAAGGCTCCGAGTGTGGCTCCCTAAGAAAACCACCTGCTTCAGTTTGGGCACCTGAGCAGTATCACAGCCCTCACACAAATCGAACGAGGTTTGTGCGGCGCATATGTATCTGGTGCTTCCTTGTACCAATATTTATGTGTTGAAATAAATAAAAAATAAACTCCTTGCAGAAATGTTACTGGTTCATATTGAGATTTTCGCCTCAAAATGTTAATGTACTTTGATGTTATGTAATCTCAAAGTATGACTCATTACCATTATTATTACAGTTCCTTAAACTTAATTTCTATTACTGAGTGTGTATCTTATGAGTTACTTCTTTTTACCACTGCCGCAGCGCTGATTGACTTCTCTAACTCAGCATGTTTTAAATTAATGGTGAGACGAATGTATATTAGGTTTTTGACTGTTCAACCAATTAATAAATGAAGCTCATACTAATTATGACTGACAGAATTAATAACTTAATCTTTAGATTAGTAACTCTTACGATCCCATTTTTTTAATTGGTTTGTTTCAGTACTATTGTTTGGAATTTGTTCTTGGTTAGGTGGTTTTTTTTACCTACTTTCTAACATTGTTAAGAGTCGATCTTAGATGATCTTTGAATACAGTCTCATGATCATTTATGAGACAGTGATATCACCAATTTAAGGTCAGAAGCTGTAACCATAATTACTAATCTGTATTTCTTTCGTGAGTCTTCTGTATTTTATCTTTGCTGACGTAAAGTTTGGCTGCTCAGACCAACTTACTATCAAGCTGGGATCTGACTTGTTTCTACCAGTTAACTGGTCACTGTTCACTCTGTAAAACATCTAATCTGTAAGACTAACTCTAACGTGGTTGTTGAGGCGCACCCTTAACATCGTTAGTGTTGGCTGGTCTTATATTATCGGTCAATTCGGTTTGGCTTGATACTTAAAAATAGGTTCGAAGATAGTCCTTTATTCAATATTTCTGTTAAAACATCGGTTAGTTTTCTACCCCGTTTAAGAAATTTAGTTGTAATTGGTATAACGACGATGAGTTTATTCAATTTATGATGGCAGCAGTAATGACGTAATGATTATTTCTAAATAGTTTAGTGGATAAATTGAAACAAGGAAATATAACATACTCAGTCATTGTCCTCATTAGTGTAATGTGATTATTGATGTATTGATAACTTAATCCCACTGTGTTGGATAGTTTTTTCAATTATCTATACATTACGAGACAGTCAAAAGAGTTTGCCTTTACTTGGTTTTTGAGTTGTCATTATGCTCGTTTATTACAAATGTCAACGGTGTTTTTTCATTTTTTCATTTTAGAGAGGCTGCAAGAGAATGTCGTAGAAAAAAGAAAGAATATGTAAAGTGTTTAGAAGCTCGAGTTAGTCTTTTAGAAAGTCAAAATCAACAGCTAATTGAAGAGCTTCAGAAAGTTAAAGCACTTTGCTTTAAGGAGTTATGTGGTCTAGGGTTAAATAGCTCCACAGCTGCATGCGCTGCAGCTGTTTTAGCTGCTGTGACCTCAGTGTCTGCTAACTACTCAGGTTCAGATGCTGCAGATGCTTCTGGATTAGATTCAACTGCCCGATTTTCAGAATCTGATCGTAATATATGTGAAAGATCCACTGAAGTGCATCATATGGCTTCTGAATTCGGAGAAGAAGTACAACAACTTCATGATTGTCCACGCTCAACTCGTCAACGCAGGCGTTCTGTGTTCACTGCACCTAAACTATCACCGTATTCAAATCAGGCTACATGGTTAGGCCCGTATCCCTTAAAGTGTTCCGAACCCTCCTCGAATGTGACATGTGGTACCAATCACGTAAATCGTTCTTCTTTTGATGAGTCACCATCACACTCATGTGTACCACAATTGCATGACACAAAAGGTGACTGCGCAACTAACCCTGTTACCATTTCCTATACGTCTCCTGTTAATCCAGATACAATTAGTCCTCATTCAGGTGAACATTTACAACTTCATTGCACTGAGTCGCACTCACTTTTAGTAGAAAATAAGGTGGACAGTGATCGATTACCACAGGATTCAACACATGAAATGTCTAATGAGTTACAAAGTTGGAAATCACCCCAGTACCATAATTGTGGTAATCCCTACCAACATCCCCGGTACGCGGCGAAAAGAGCTTATCGCAATGTGATATTTAATTCCTCTAACACAAGTAGCGAGTCCGAAAAAAAAACAGATCCCGTTGATGATAAACGTCTTTGTCAACCAGGAGCTAACGTTGATGCTGTGACTGGTGCTGCAGTAATTTTAGCAGCTGCAGCTGCCATGGTCGCAGAATCTGGATCTTCTGCACCGGAATCTAGACTGTCCGTCTGAGCATATATATATATAATATTCAGCAGATCATATTACTTATGAACATCTACCTGCGTCTTTCTCAACGAATAGGTTCCAATAAGTAAATTTTTAAGTGATTATGTTTTGAAATATTCTAGGAGCAGCAAATAATAGTTTCTTGAACTGTTAATTTCTGAAGTCATTAAAAATACTGAACTTATGCTTTTTCTGCGTTCACTGTCTTCCTTCAATTTGCCTTTCTTACTTTCTACGGCCTGTTTTTCCTACTATGCAAGCTTTCCAAATTGTGAAAAATCATTCCCCCGGCTGACTGATCCTTGTTAACGTTTTACGAGACAAACTTATTTATTTTCTGGAATGTTAGGTGTTGGGAAATCCATTCGTGCCGTTTGCTTTGTCTTCTTTCATCATAAAAAAGACTACATCACAAATCCAGATTCTGTAATCATGTATATTTTGCAAACTTTATTCACCCTCACCTTGAAAGATGTAGAGTTATTTCTTACTTGTTTCGTTGTTACATTCTCAAGCGCCTTTGCATCATTTCTTTTGTCATCCTTTTTCATATATTTGTTTACTTCAGGTGTAGCATCTCGATGTCTTTCGTATCATTTGTTATTTTTTCTTAATTCATTTCTTGCTTCAATACGTCCTGTTTGATTGATAATTTACTGGCTATGATTGTAGTGTAGTCTATGCACCACATTTCCTTGCCTCGTCATCTTCCTGCCCTAGCGCCCACAGTGTATTTGCGTGTCTGTGTACGTGTACATATAGCCGTAGTTGGTCTGTTTTTATTATCCGGTTTTTTAAAAAAAATTCAATTCTGCTTTCATTTTTATCAAAAGCGCCATTTTCGTCACCACTAATCATTCTTTTTTCACATACATTGCTTTTGTGAGTACATATTTTATTATGATTTTCATATATAGGTTAGTTAAAAATTGACGTTAGCATAATATTTGAAGTTTAACAAATCTCATATTTATTAATTTAACTTCCTAGATTTTTCCGATTCCTATTAAATCCGTCAAACCCGAAGTTTGGTTTATTATCTGGGAAAATAGTCCACTAAGTTTATTATGTAACTTCAATAATCCTTGTGTGCTAATTTCTAAGGTGTTTTTTCAAGTTTATAATGTATGTTTTAAGGGAATATGATCAACTACCATTTTGAGAGCTGTTTATTATTATTATTATAGTTAATTATTACTAGATATTCACGAAGATGATCCCATGACTGTAAAGACAAGTCATGCGGTTGAGAAAACCAAAGTGATGCTACTACTAATTACCATTCATCCTTAGGTAACTGTCATATCCCGTCCGTACATTGCGTTGAGTTCAGTTTAGTGAATTTGAATTCAACTAACATATGTTTACCATGCCCTAACGCACATACGTCGTTCGGTAGCAATTCACTAAAACTGTCCAAAGGCGTATATGTGAGTGATTGGAAAAGTAAGAATAGTTTCGTATAGAAGGTTTGCTCAAGATGTATCTATACTTAAGTTCAAACTTCACTTCGTTGAATTTACGAATAAAAAACAGATGCAGAATGTTTTTTATTTACCTAAAAAAAGACCGAAATTTCGCCAGGTTTTATAATGGTATTACCATTATACAGAGAAAAATCTCGGTCAGAACTTTATCTTTTGGTGTAACAAAAACATCACTACAGAAGCACTATAGATAAAAATGTATATATCCTGTTTTTGTTTTGCTTTTTACAATGTGAGAAATGTTTCGGATAAACATTCCTTCTTATTATTTTGCTAAAAATTAACAGTTGGAAGGCATATTTTTTGATATATAGTGTTTTCCTCAAAATTGCGTGGGCAACCAGCCTTTTTTTATTTTATGTATAGTTAGCGAGATACGTTTGTTTTTTATTTGACCAACATCTTGCCACCCAATAAGAATATTTTTCGTAACGAATTATTCCAAGTAATAATACTGCACAAATTTCTGTCTGTATAGACAAGCGATCCTGGTTCATTCGCGTTTCCTAAATGTTTCCGTAAAAATATAAATTAGTCGTAGTTATCATTCAAAGTTGTTTCCAGTATAATTCTATTATCACACTTGTAAAAGGTTTACTTAAATTTTTATTAGGCATCACATTTTTCTGGTTATCTGATTCTAAACTAAAATTATGCAATCTAAACTTAAATCTTACGTAGCTTCGTACTTTCAAATTACCAAAAACCATACCAACTTTCTTCATAGTAAACCAGAGCTTGCTGATCATGCATAAGCAATGAAGTACATACGCAATGAGTGTTGGTTGCACAGTATTACGAATTGACTGAAGCTAGGAGAGTGAACCAATAAAATGTCAATTTAGTTGTCTGTAGGTTAAGGACTCGTGGTGAAACCTGAAGATCATGTGTTCGACCCCACATGAGATCATGCATTCCTATTGACAAGATTTTTCATATTGGGACGAAATATCTGTTCTTTACTTCCTGGTTCCCCGTGTTTATCTGGTGGGACTCAGTCCGTGAAAAAAACTGCACAAAATACTATAGGACAGATATTTTACATTCGGAAATACCATTAACTGTAAATGTAGATTGATTGAATTCACTATCGATCTTCCGGGAATCACTACTGACGTAAATCATCAGTGAGGAATTAATGTTGAAATTCTAACAACGATCTTACCATAGTTTATCTCAGTAGAAACTAATAACGATAATTAAGTAGTTGTACTCACATTCTACTTCAAGAATAAATGTAACTGAGATCGTTTATCAAGTGAAGATAACTTCCAATTAGATATAGATTTTTAAAATTATTTTTTTATGAGAGTAAATAAAACGTCTGGTTAATGGTGATATTCAATCGCCTTTTTAATTCTGTCATCACTTTTGTCTTTTCATATTTAAAAAAGATGTACAAGAATAGCGCCGGCATGCATAGGCTTGTTAGTCAGTGGAAAATGTTAATATAATAATGTGCCGAACGTACATTTTATTCAAAAAGAATTTTCACAAAAACTAGTACTTTAAATATTTCCTGCTCAAAATTTATTGAACTCTGAAGTGTTCCATTAATACTTCCTCAAGATATTCTAGTGTAGCCCTATTTTACAAGCGCAATTCAAGAATGAATGACATCTTGCATCACATGAAAAACTGGAGAAATACACTGATATATATATATATATATATATATATATATATATATATATATATATATATATATATATATATATATATGACGACTTACTAAAACTAGATGCATTTGATTTCACGAGAAACACAACTAAGATTCACGAAAGTCACTTTTTTATTCCTATATTTCCTTTCCCTATGGTATTGTTTACCAATGGTTCATAATGAGAAACAACTTTTAAATTTTCGCTACAGTTGTCAAATTCTATCTTTCACTTAAAATTCCTTTTACCTGTCATTTTAGGTTTAAGTACAGTGAAATTAAGTCAGTCAGTCACAACGTAGAACTTCGTACGTACGTACATCAGTTCGAGTTTCCATACCACATTAGCACAGAGATGCAGTTGTCGACTCGAATCCCATAGTGGTAGAAGTAGTAAGAGTATAAGCAGTAATCGGAAAGATAAGAGTTTGAAGATGCTATTGAAGGAGTATAATCCAATGAAATAAATTTGGAGAGAGAAAAAAGATAGAGACGTGAAGAATTCAGAAGATTAAAATTTGGTAGAACACAAAGAGTAGATGCATCTTCTCCATTGCAAACGATTTTGAGCCATGTCATTCAAGGTCTCTAACCATCGATTGTTATCATCTCGCGAATCCCAACCAGGTAGTCTACACCTACCAAGTGGAAGCTTTGGAATATTATCGACCAACAACATTGATAATAAGTATATGTAAACCATTTACCAGTTATAATTTCGTGATCTTGACTTCGTACCACAATCTAGGTGTAAGGGCTAATCGTAATATCACTCGGTCGCTTAAACCAAAGTCGGTCTTGATCATTGAGTCACTGCCTCGCAATTAGTCGATGTGAGAATTGATTCAAGTTACCGCTGGTACTTATCATTATTAAAAGTACTTAAGTCTGTCACGAGTAATTGTAAACTCATCCAATACAGGTATAAATACATGTTTAAGACATTGTTTAACCAATAATTAACATTAGTAGTAAATAAATTCTTGAAATGTCTATGGATTAATTTAAAAATTCTTAAATTAGTTAGATATTTCTTTTGAACTTGATATGACGGGATTAGATGAAATTATTTAGGTCAGTATTTTTGGTATCAGTTCATTATACATTTTGGCCAGGGTGACAGATATGAACGTCATTCACTGCGATAATTATATTCCCTCTAGCAATTCAGGTGAACCGTATTCGGTTTGTATTTCTACAGTACCCCTGTATATTTCGTCCTAACTATGCTTTTATAATGTATACAAGTGATTGTATTTTGGTGTAATGACAATATTATTTGGGGACTTGTTTTTGTATTTAATAAATTTTCATTGCACCAGTCTTTTGTGTTCTTACTTTGCGTCGTGGTAATTGCGGTGGTCCCTGCCTTGAAGTATATGCAGTAGGATTGAGGAGTTTTAGTGGTTTTCCTTTTTCAAGCACATGCAGTAAGACTGCGGACCTAATAGGGCCAAAATGTATATAACAGCCACGACAGGACAAGCTTGATAGAAGGGTCCTCCGAAGATATAACTGGCGGCGATTAGATAACAGAACTAGTCATAACAAAAGAATATGTTTATTTTTTCATGTCTGCAATGTTTTGTGAATAACTTGATTCTGCATTTGGTTTTGTACACGGCTTTACGTTCCTACCAACCAATCTCACAAAGTAACAGAATTTTAGTGGTCTGAGAAAACAGTACTAATGAAATTACTCTAGGTTCATAATGAAGTTTACTCTTACACTAGCAATGATATTTTTAAGAAAAAAAACAGTCGACAAACTACTTACAGTAATGAAAAAGACAATCACTTAATGAAAATCCTTCTGATCACATGATTCTTACTTCTAAAAAAAGTTACATTCATTTGATCAGTTGGAGTATCTTAATTAACATAGTTGGTTTCGGCAAAAAACTAAGGTCTTCTGACATAACTATTTGCTATCTATGAAATTATTACTTGACATACTTGTTTTGTGATGTAGTGGACTCAGTAAAAGGACTTATTCAAGATGTAGCAATATACAAAATTAATAGTAGTATACCCAAAAAAATAATACTATGTACCGAAATGATTGTCTATGAATAAAAATAGGTAACGAATAGCACTCAAAACAATATGGTATATTAAATAATAAGGATAGCATTTATTACGCAATGAACAGTACTTGAAAGCTCTTTCTGGGATAACCACCATAGGTGTAGTCCACTTGATTAACAAATGTCCTTCATAGTTGATACCGACGGCGTGAAGTAAAATGTAAACTTGAGAGAGTTATCGAACCATAACCCAGCCCAAGAGTCCCACTTAGTGTAGAGCAAATTAAAATGCTGTTATAACACTTATAATCTTCAATCACAGGTTATGACCAATAAAACAGAAAAATGATTGACATAGATAGAATTTATTTGAATACCGAAGGTAGCATGTGTATTCATCACCTAATTAATTAATGTCCG